CAGGATGAGGCCTAGCCAGGGCTGAGTAGAGGGGAACTAGGACCTCACAGGATTTGGAAGGGATTCTTCCATTAATGAAGCCCAAAACAGCATTTGCCTTTCTTGCAGCCACATCACACGGTTGACTCGTACACAGCTTGTCCTCTACAACAGCTCTGAAATTATTCTCACTTGTAGTATGGTGTAGCCAAGCCAAGCATTGTCCATCTTTTAACTAAGTATGTTATTTCTTTTGTCCTCTGTGGGTTTAGGTATCCCGCCCAATTTTGTGTCACATGCAGATTTTGATAGGTATTCTCATCCAGATCATTCATTAAAAAGTTGAGGGGCACTGGGACCAGGACTGAACCTTGCAGTACCCCACTTTTTACCTCTCCCTAATCTGAGAAGGTACCATTGATGAGCACTCTTTGGGTCCAATTCTGTAGCCAACTATGGATCCACCCAATAGTTGTTCCATCTAGTCCACTTTTAGCTAGTTTGAGAATCAGGAAATCATGGGGGGGCACACTGTCAAAAGTTTTGCTGAAGTCAAGATATACAGTGGTACCTTAGCTCACGAACTTAATCCATTCCAGGACTCTGGTCATGACCCAAATTGGTCATGAGCCAAGTCAAATTTCCCCATAAGGGTCAATGTAAATAAGGTTAATCCGTTCTGCAGGGGGGAGGCGGGCGCGGGCAAGCAGGGGGCAGGCGGGCGCAGGCACACTCGGGCAGGGAACAAGGGCACAATCGCAGCCATCCTCCCCCCAGCATGACCGCAATTGCGCCCGTGCAGGGAACACAGGTGCAATCGTCACCCAACGCAGAGTTCACGACCTGCGGCAAAATTTTTATGAAATTTCTGTTCGCGACCCGATTCGGTCATGAACTGAGGTGTTTCTGAGCCGAGATACCACTGTATATTATGTCCACAGCATTCCCCCAGTCTGCCAGGGAGGTCACCCCAGCAAAAAATGAGACTAGACTATGAACAGTGGTAGGCAACCAAGCTGTCCTCCAGGTGTTTTGGACTAAACTTCCTATAATCTCTGACTTCCAGTGGAAATGTTGGGCAGGGTTTATTGAAGCTGCAGTTCAAATATATTTAGAGTACCAAATTGACGTCTGCTATATATCCATAAAAAGACAAACAAAATGAAGACCACAGCCCCTCTAGGGGCTAAAGCTAAAGTTACAGACGTATAACTGAAACTTAAAATATTGCAGTTGTCCAGTAAGGCTGTTTTGTACATGAGGCACATTCATATGACACTCTTCTATTAGAATAATTTTCAAAGTTGAAAGACATTTTAACAGGTTACTTCACAAAGTTCATTATTGCCTCCAAAATTTGGAATGTGCCCCTTCCTTAGCCTTTAAGAAAGGCATAAAGACAAATCTTTTCACTTTAGTCTTTCAAAATGCATACTTTTAATATTTCTGCTGCTATAACATTCCTGTTTTTACTGTATTAAAGCTTTTATTGCTTTTAAGTTGCTATACACCACATGTTGATGACTTTTAGCAAATAAGACAGCTAAGGTAAAAATGTATGGAAAAACAGATTTGATGTAAATATTAATAATATATTCATACATTACAGAATATACTATTCCATGAGGTCTTCATTTCTAATATTTATTTTCCTATCAAAAATAAAGTAAAACTTTTCCCTCAAATTTTTCCAGTTCTTCCCCGAAATGCTAACATTTCTAGGCCAGCAGCTAAGCACTATTCCAGAGACTGCATTGACTAACTATTTCCTCCCCTAAACCTATTTCTCAGTAAATGTTATTTTAAAGTTTACAAAGAAACATTTTCTATGGGGGGGGGGAGCCACAATGCTGTGCTACATTTCAGAGAATGTGGGAGAGGTTTTTTTTAAAGCCTTTTAAAAACTGGAACAAACCTGCCAGATTCCTGAGCTACCAAATCCCTTCCAGGACCAATTTCTACATGAGACACAGGTGCAGCCAGGGCAGAAGCACTTAACTGATGGAGTCGAATGCTCCCCACCTTGAAACCTGGGCTTCTCATTCCCGTGAAAGTACAGTCCAGTGCACAGGACAAAAGGCATACTTTTTTCTCCCTGCATGCAGAAGTTGGGTAGCTACTTCGCCCAGGTCTCTTTCTAATAACTTACTAATGTAGTTTGTTGGACTAACTCCCCCAGCCCTTCCAGTATCCTAGGAAAATGACAGCAACAAAAAATAAGGCAAGGTGATGCCAGCACTCGAGGAAGAGGCTGACTCGGCAGACCTTTTCAAGAAGCACTGCACAAGAGTTGGATACCCTTAAATAGATGTAACATGATAAATAAAATAATAAGCTTCAAGTCAGGAAGTCCCCAGTCTGAGTCTCACCAGGTGGTCTTTGAGTACTCCACTCCCTTCCACCCTCAGTCCATCTTCCATTCATGAAGTAATGATGATGACGAAGATGACAACTTGCCTTACAGGGTCACCGTCAGGCTTACAACTAACCAACGAATCTGAAATGTCTAGTTCTCTTGAAAGGGCCATATAAAAGAACTGTTACGTGTTAGGCCACGATCCAGAGGGGGATGTACCCCACGTTCTGGATTATTTATTGTTGCCTACAAGGAAAACAACCTTGATGATTTGTAGTAAACTCACAAAGCTCAGCTGCCACAAGGACACTCCATGCAGCTAATCAACACACAAGGCACCATCTAGAAGAGTGGTTGCAACCTGACCTATTGCAGGTGCAAACAACGTGCCCCCCCCCCCGGTCTCTTACTCAGTAGGTGCATGCTGGGCACTGTGGGCATGCAGGACTGTCTGCCAAGCAGTCCAACCAGCTATTGCAGCCCAATTGCTTGACACACAGAGGAACTAGACAAGAAAGAGCTTAACGTCCCTGATAACCACGATGGGGTGGTCGCTGACTTCGAGCCGGACATCCTGGAATGTGAAGTCAAAGGGCCTTAGGAAGTCTGAGCAACAACAAAGCTAGTAGAGGCAACAGTTTCCTGCTGACTGCCCTCTGCTCAACAGTATTGAGGTAACACACAAGCAGTGACACGGACCAGGCAAGGATAGCATAAAACCTACTAGGTTTTACTGGAAATGGGCTGCAGAGGTTGGCTGCTTTGCTCACTTGAGCCCAGGTCTCTGCAAGGAAAGCTCACTTCCACAAATAGGTGAACAGATTTCAATTATATTTAGTAAATCCCAAGGTGAGATTGCAAAAAAAAATGACCCTGAGTGGGCACCAGTTTTTTCTCACAGCCTTGTATATCCCACACCAGTCGCAGAATAAGGCAAACATCCTTTGCAAGCTAAACAGTCTTTTAAACTAGCACCAGTAACATCAATAAGCACCTGCTGCTTACTTTCAACCTTTAACAGTACAGAGTAGAAATCATGACTTCAAATTCTTCCATTCCTGACAACCAAGCTGAAATTGGATGGAAGTTACCAGCCTACAGCTGTGGTCAAGTTAAACCATGACAGGCTGAAATTAACAACCATCTCGGTAAGACCCACCTAATGTTTATAATTTCAGCTTCAGTCACAGTGACCCATATTCTTTTCACGGTTTAAACCATTCCTACCTCCGCAGTTGCTGAAGTGAACCTTAAGTTGGCTTGCAATTAAACTCTGCAAGTGTTCCTTGCTGGTCTGCACAGGCATACTCACATTAGTCATTTGTGGCACAGAGTGTGAGGAAAAAAAGAAACAATTCTTAATTGAGAAAAGTCTTCCTGCTTGTTTTTTCCCCACTTTGTGCAAGCTGTCAAGAAGCTGCTGCCAAGCTTGAATTAGACAATCAGGCTATCTGCTTCTTTTAGATCAGAACCAGGCTGATTCGTTTTACAGCAGAACACAACCTTGGGCTGTGCTACCTTTTGGGCACTTTTCATGTTTCCAGATGTAACAAGCAACTTTACCTTTCACAAACCTAATATCAAAAAAACAAAACAATTCATGGTATATTCATGAGAACCAAACCCCTCGACCAGCAATGTTGTTTTCTGCAACCACCAGCAGCTTTTTCGTCTTGTTGTGTCTACAAGGACCTCAAGACTGATGTCCGAGCTAGCCAGCTTAGGAGCAGTGTACAGGCTTTGCCTTGCCTGTACCCTGTGTGCTCCAAAAGCTTTGCCTCAGCAGCAGTTTCACCAGAACTGGGGGGTGGGGGGGGCGGCTCATGGGGGGCTCCCTGCCCCACAGCACCAGGGTGCCCCCAGGCCCAAAGATCTAACTAGATGCATCTCTAGCTACTGCACTGCCCCATCCTGGGAACTGCCTCGTGGTTGTGGTGCTGCATCACTCACCAACCTGCTGTTCTTTGAGGCGAGTGTCTCAGTGAGCAGGACACCTGCCCGCAGAAGGGCACAGGTTGGACCTCCAGCCACACCTCCAGCTAAGACTGGAACCCTGTGAGCAGCTGCTGCCAGTCCATGGCAACAAAAAGCAAAGCAAGGCTCTGAGTCAGCCTAAGGTAGCTTCCGGTTAAGAACTGCAACTATCTCACTAGTGGAAGGACCGCGGGAGTCCCAATTTAACAGACCAGGAGGGCATCAGGTTGGGGACAGCTGCTCCAGATGGGAAACAGACCGGAGAGGGCTGACCCAACCTGGTCGCCCGAGTGCTTCATGGCCAGATGGAAGTTCCTCCAGGGGCCTCTCCCCGAGCCAGGGCCGCACAGCGATTCGGACCGCCGGCCTGGGCCCTGGGAGGGAAGGTCCTCGCGCCTGGCAGAGGCAGCTTCTTGGAGAGCCGCGGGCTGCAGTGCCCGCTCGGCCACAAAGCTCATGTGGCCTAACTCGCAAGGGTGTTGTGGGGAGGGCGCCATTCGGAACGGGAGCCTTGCAGCCGCCTCGGGGCTCTGCAAGAGCAAGGAAGGCGGGCAGAGCCGCGGGGTCCCAACGGCAGGGGGTGCAGGCCGTCCAGGCGAGGGGAGGCGGCGGCCCGGCCCGAGTGGGAGGTCCCGCGGCGGCGGCCCCGCGGGAGGGTGGCCGGGCCCGTCCTCCGGCCCGCGCGCCTTACCTCCCGCACGTCCTGCAGGCACTCGAGCACGGCCAGGTTGTTGGCCCAGCTGTGCTTGGGGCAGACGCGCGTCACGTCCTCGCGGCACACCGGCTCCTCCGCCAGCTTCCAGCCGCCCGCCGCGGAGCCCCCGCGGGGGCCCCGCCCGCCGCCGCCCGCCGCCGGGGCCGCCGCTCCCAGCCCGGGCTGAGGCGGCTGAGGCGGCTGCACGCCCATC